CGGGCTGGAGCCGACGTTCTACCTCACCTTTGCAGCAGCTCCATCAGCGTAGCCCATAACAGTGTTTGCAGAGAAAAAGGAAAAAAATGAAAGAGAGAAAAGAAAAAAAAAAAAGGAAAAGCCTGAACAAAACCACAATAAGTGCGAATATGGGTGAGAACCCGGCTCCGCAGCCCTGGCCAGCAGAAATACGTTTCAAGTCAAACCCCAGACACACTCGCCTTTCTTCACAGCTACTGGGAGAGGAAACACCCCGAGGTGCAGCTGTTATTCGCAGGAACTTTCCATTCCAAATCGATCCGCGCGTTACTCGCAGCCTCCTTCACAGCTGCGATGAAAAGGGAGAAGAAGAAGAAGGAAACGGGAGAAGAAGAGGGCAGATCAAACGGGCTTTGTTGTACCGATGAAAGGGGCTTTCGAGGGGCACAGCCCCTCTGCGAAGGGATTTTGGGGCTGGTGCCGATGGGGCCACGCGGTCGTGGCTGGATCATTTTTTTTTTCGAGGCGATGCTGGACCGAGCCCGTGCCAGGGGCACACGGCAGCAGCTAAAATACAGCTGGGGGCATGTCAGCCTCTTCCAAAGGCCCTCTGAGAGCTCAAAGTGGCCACAGGTGCTGGTCCCAGCTACCAGATGGTACAGCTGAGCACCTGAGGGCTCCCACTGTTCTGGGGGGACTCTGGAAAACAGGGATAAAAAAAATATATAAAGATATATAAAAAAGATATCGCAGAAAGCGATACAGGGGAGCAGATGGAGCAGAAACGTTTGGTTTTACTTTTGCAAATGAAAACTGAAAGAAAAGGGGGAAAAAAAAATCACTGGAGCTTGGCTGACTTTTTTTGAGTTTGGGCTAAAAAATCTCCTAGGAAAAATGAAGAATATTTCCTCTGAGAACAAAGCTAACAAAAGTCTCAGCAAAAATCTTATTCTCTTCTCGTTCCAGACCAAACTCTAAACCTCAGCCTCTATTTTAATGACCGTGTTGTCTCCAAACTGCCTTGTCCTAATAAATAAACTTTAAACTTGCAAAAAGTTTCTGAGCTTCGCAGGACGTGGGGGAAGGAGCCTGCCCAGCTGCCGCCCGCTCTCGCCTGGCCCGCACCGGCCCCTTCCCTCGTCAAGCCCTTAACGAACCGTGCACAAACGAGCACTCAGCATCATTCAGGCACAATCCCGTTCCTCCGAAATAGTGGGGCCGAGTGGCCATGCGAGGGGCCTGGCATCTTCCTCTTGGACCTGCAAAAAACCACCCCCCACCAATGCCC